TCGACCACAAAACCGCCACCCCACCCCGGCCAAAGTTGTGACAGACGGCGGCGGCGACGCCACCAGGCCGGCACAACCCAAAACACCGGAACAACCCAACACCTACAAGGGTTAGCTTATGTGCGAAAATGTGCCCCAATACCACCGTAACGAGGCCCAGTAGAGCACGGGGGCTGGAAACGCACGGCACTCGCAAAACTGAAAATTCACCCCTGGAGGCGGGGCTGGGAAGGGCACCCCGGGGACATAATATGTTCTTTTGCGGGTATGTTGGGTACGACCATACTTGGCCGAATGCACCATATCCCGTCCGATTTGCGAAGTTAAGCGGCCACAGGCCTCGTTAGTACGGCGATCAGTGGTGGGGCTGGAACCCGGGGTGCCGTACCCTCCTCAACTTTTTTTTTTGCCAACATCTTGGGGTGGGTTGCCGAGGACCTCTGATGCCAATCACGGCTCGCCTCTGGCAATGAGGGCTGTCCAATCGCGGCGCCCAGCTTACGCACTTCCACCCCCAGGGAAAAGCCAAACATACCTCACACATTGTTGCGGTGGGGTGCCAAAAAACCAAAATACCTTTGAGGCGAAATGTTCTTATGGGGGAAAATGTTCTTATGGGGCAAAGTGTTCTTATGAGGCGAAATGTTTTTTTTGTACTTATTTTTCCTTTTCTGCATTTCCCATGGATTTCCTTTCCACACCACACATGGCAGTAGCGGAACGCCTTAACACCATCATGGTATATTTTGCCTTTATCATAGGGAAGGAAGGACTAACACCCCCATGTTCTTTGTTCATTATGCCGCGTGCCACCGAGTAAAAGGTGGGTTGAATGGCCACACCATGTCACGAGGGGAACGGGGTTGGGTCATCTTTGCGGAATACCTTTGAAACCCATCTTACCCAGCGTTGAAGTAGGGAAAGCAAAGAGTTTTCCACTATTCCCAACCCCACTCATTTTATAGGTGAAACACCCCCGGGAGCCACCCCACCCCTCTTCTTCTTGTTGCGCACAAGACGCTGACAAGTTGGCCGCCCGCCTTGGGTTGTGTTCTCTCCTCTCCCTTCTCGGGTGGGGGATAAAAAAAATAAAAGGGCAAAACCCGACAACG